CATCGTCCCTGAAATATGAGCTTGCCACCTTATTTGCTAAACTCTTAGAACAAACACCAATGGACAGCGAGAATTATTTGTGGTCTTTTACTGAACTTGTTATTCTTCTGCATGATGCGAAAATGAGTGACGTGCGTGTATTTGAAGAGTCTATTGAAAGACGTATAACACCTGTATTTCACCGTCCTATCTGTACAATCTTTACTTCTCTGTCTTCGAGGAGCGGAAATTGACAAGATTGAAACGGCAGAAAACAAATCCTGGACGCTATTTCATGCCAGCTGTCACAAACTACTTGTTAGGATATGTTCGATACTTTCGCAGTTAATCACCGACCGACTTCCAAACGGAGAAGTAAGCAAGGACGTCGTCACAATTACCGCTATATTTGAAAAACTATTGAATCCAAAATTCGTACCATACGAACAAGTGTGGCTGGAGATTCTCGACCAACATGACATTATTCCGAAATTTATAAACTTATTTGCTTTATCGTTGTCTCAGTCAGAAAGGGATAGACCAGTGTTTGCAGATAGTGCGATGTATTTTCTCTTGTTTTTGGCGAAACATTCTCTTACTGCGAGCCGCATGTGGAAATCCAATTGTTTCGCTGTATTCCGTCATAACTATCGCGAGGAACTTTTATTCACAAATATTCCGTCATAACGAACAACCAATCAAAGGTCTATTTTATTATTTTAAATCGTACATCTTTAAACTCCGAAAACCTCTTTCATATAAATATCATGTCGCGTACAACCTTTTTTTCCTTCAATGTCAGAAAACTTAATCAACGAAGATTTTCTCGACGTGGTAATTATTTCTCACGTCAAATTGCCTATTGCGTTATCCGATTGTCCCGCTTCGCCTTTAATTTTACAATTTATTGGCAAGACCATTAATTTTCCTTCCGTGACAACATTGGGCGTTTGCATAAGCGTATGCGTCACTGAGTATCTCAGAAAAGGTGAGCGAAATTACGAGGCCTATTCCTTTTATATTATAAGAGTGTTTATTTTTAATAAACAGGCCGACCTCAAGATGCTAAATGAGGGAGGCTCCATCAACGAAATTGTTATAACACATCCATCAAATGGACGCCTGGCAAAGTCGATAACAGCAGCACAAAAGAATGCTACTGTCCAGTTTACAGGCGTTCGGCCTTTTTCATTCGATCAAAAAGATTTCTTCTAGCAGTGCAATGGTGGGGATGACTTCCTGAGATGTATTGTGATGTCTTCACAGTAAATACAGCTATGTCATTCTGTACTTGGGGGTCGTTGTCTTTATGATGCCTATAGCGCTAAGCCAAGACAGAGTATTTGTTACTGATTTTGCAGGAGAATAATCAAGACACCTCAATTGTTCAGCAGGACGAAAGACCTCGTCTTTTTCAAGAAAGTTATATGGTGAGAAAATATTTCCGCGCCGTTTCTTTGTTTATCAACATTTGTATATCTTTAGAATACGTCAATTATGCTGTAAACTTTGTCAAATTTGTCGTGACACTATTAACAGTCATATCCATGATAACTTATGTTGTCCAGATAAGAGACGTATGTACAGTACACTAACCCTATCCTGTTTCACACAATAACATCTTGATTTTTTAGGAAATCAAAATCATGAACGAAAGCCTTGAAAATAGAATGACTTCGGGATTCGCGAAATTTGACACAAAATTCGAACTCCTTGACGCGAAATTCGGACTCTTCGAAGCAAAACTTGACCCATTAATCAACAGTAGAATTTTTTGGACAGTAAGTTCGAAGAAAAATTCCGACAAATTGATGAGAAATACAACAGAATAGAAGAATAAATTACGGCAATAAACGAAGATTCTATCGTACTATTAATAATATTTTCCGACATTTTTTCCGACACTTTTACACGCTAGTCAAATTAGTCCATATGTGTTAGTTATAATTGACTCATATGCAGAATATGCTGTACGACCATAAAGTGTCTCGGAAAAACGGAATTATTGACTATAATTAATATCTACATTTCGATGACATCTTCGCTAAAGATACAAACTTGGTATTTGCCGTTACTTACTAAATTAAACATATCTTGGGACGCGTTGTTGTGGGTTGGTTTACGATATGAGCGAAAAGTCTAGAAACGAACATAATATTAAGCTTGAGATATCAAAGCCACATTCGTGAGAATTAATGAACAAAACGGTACATGAAAAAGATGCGTGGATACCATATTTGTTTTAATTGTCCCACTTGTAATAATAACGAACATTCAATATATTATCTAACTTTTCTTCTTGAACGCAACGATCAAATTATGTCCAGCACACAAAAAGGTGACGAATATGAAGAGAAAATACGTGTATATAATATCCTTGTAGAAGCTGGATACGATGTAGAATGGTGTGGAAGGTGAGTTTTTCACTGAGTATTTTGTGTATCTGAAGGTACGCTGCACTAGGTGTAAAATATCAGAGTTTAAAATACACTTCATGCCACTCTATAACTTTTGTATCAAGCTACTTTAAGTTATGGGTGTGAGACTCATAATGTATGTATCCGAAGGTACGCTGCCACTAGGTGTAGATCGGAGTTTTCGAAAGCACGGAGGGTGTAAATTGAATCGAAACTCTGTTACCGAAAGCGACCGGGGTTACCGGGTTGTGTTGAATAGGATACATTAGAACATTATGTTAGTTTCATAACATATGGTGGTTGAGTTGTTGTGTATTTTAAATTCTGTTACCGAAAGCCGACCGGGTTGTGAGTGAATAGGATACATTGACCATTTGAATTGAAAGCGCATCGTGGCCACAGTTGCGAAAGTCGCCAGTCAAGTACCCAGTCCTGGCGTACGGTGGGCGGCCTGCTGTGAACGTTCTTCAGTTGGTCTTGACTATGATGATACCGTTACTCATTTTAATATTTATTAATTATAAGAATGCAATTTGGAGATGCGGGAGCAGATATAGTCGTCTATCATAGAGGTTGCACTATATTTATTCAATGTAAAAACTATGCAACAAATATTGGTAAGGATTTATTTATAATAACGAAGAAAACTAAACAGAAACCATATTAATATACAAAACGCTTGTAAATTAAGATCGAAGACTGGTACAGGCATTAGCCGGGTTTCTAAATAGACGATCAATATATTATTTCTGTGTTGCAGGTATTGTAGTTGCCCACAGAAATGACGATAAATTTGCGTCGTGTGCACATCAAGAAGCAAAGATTAGTCATAATCCAATAAAACTATCATACGCAAGTAAGATAGTTAAGGATATCGAAGATTTTGTGTCTATGGCTGAGGATGATGGTGGTGGTGTAATAGAGATTCGGAGGGGAAATGAAAAGAATAAGAAAGAGATTTTACAAATTAAAAGAGAAATTAGGGAATTATATTTTTTAATTATATTATCATTATTATTATTTCTTTATATAATCGTTTTAAAATAAAGATTTTCTTGTTGCAAAAAACTCGCGATTGAGTATTATGGTGAATGGGATATATTGATCAGTGAAACAAAAGCGCATCGTGGCCACATTTAATGTGAACGTTCGTCTCTAATCTCGACTAATACTTACTTTTTTAATGTTAGTCGGTGTAATTGCGCGTTTGCAAAAATGCGAGAAGATCAATTCTAACTACATTCTCTTCAAGCGTTTTTCTAAGCTCTTCAACATCATTAACTTCTTGTTTTGTTGGACCATGACTATGATCATATTCATTAACATTCTCCAAATAACAATAACGACTTGCAATTATTTCTGATATCATTAATATTCAACCCATTGTTGGCATTTCATCAAATTATGTTAAAAATTTAAGATTTGAGATAACAAATGTGGTTTCATTATTATTGTTACATAAGTAATACATGAACCATTAACATTTCTATGACGATGGAGGTAATCTTTTGTTTTCACTATCAATACAGTTCATTCTAATGAAGAGATTTTGTAAACCCCTGCGACAATAGATTGCGGGTTAATGAGATGACAAAAATTGATTTCGCAAATTCAATATTCTGGATCAATTTTTGCACACATCTTAGCAACCGTTACCATTAGCAAGTATGTGAATTTCATGAGCATTGGGCTCTTGGTTGTTGCGTTATTAGCGATTGACGACGAAAATTGATTTCGCGTGTTTGAAGAATCAAGCCAGGCGTTCATACATATAAACAATCGTACTTAATATTCCGTACCAATTTCTTGCACACACATTAGCAACAGTTACCTTTAACAAACATGTAAGTTTCATGAGCATTGGGTTCTTGGTTGTTGCGTTATTAACGATTGACGAAAATTAATTTTGCGTGTTTGAAGAATCAAGCAAATCGTTATAATTATAATATACATATAATATACAGTATATACCAATTACGTCTCAATTTCTCAATACACTATCATAATATGAAGGTAGTAAATGAAAGAGGTTACAGAAGCACATTTCTTCATTATTCTTCATAACTATGTTTTCGCAAGGCAAGCTACTAATACTGACAGCCATGATATTTGATTATTTGTGTAACGATAGTTTTAGTGTAAAAATCACAAAATAAAACGGATGCGCGGCAAGCAATGCAAGCATCATGGCAAATTTATTTCGCGTCTATTTTGTCGCTACAATGTATGTAGCAATAGTAAAATGCCAACGAATGAAAACGCATAATGAACATAATGTGTATACAATTCTACCCGTAATATAGCTGAAAATGCTTTCACTTTAATTGTGATGACTGTGGGTTGATTCCATTATAATAATTCGCCAAATTACCCTTGCAAAACAGAAATCCATCGTAGAGTTTCAAACATTCGCACTCTTGTACTACGAGAATGTTAAGCCACTTTGCGGCATCCGACAACATTTCATCTCTTTAGCGTGAAATGACAGAGCAAACGAGTGACAAGAAACTCGCTAATTGTTTGTCTATGTTTTGTTGCACGCGAGAATAACATTTGGAGAGATTGTCGTGCTCGTGCGCGGGATTTCTTCAAAAGCGTTTGCGAATGAGAGCCGACAGCGAAAAAGAGTTTTGTCTGACGGTTTATCGCAAACGCATAATAACGATAAGTGAGTTTACTATTGAAACCGTATCGAAACGGTTTTCAATACTCGACAATAGGTCAGATAAAAATAAGCATATTTGAAAGTGTTCGTTATCAATGCGTTGATTGAACGATAGTTGGGTTTGGTTCGTATGAAACATTACTGAATACTGCACGGTACAACAAGGAGAAATTAGTAACGAGACATAATACAGCCTTGAAGACTTGACTAATTTCGGGTCCTTGGATCGAATTAATATTTAGTAGACTGACATTGTCATTCTACGGCTTTATTCGGGTTACAAATGAGGTCATCCACCAGCACTATCCATGGTAATATGACGCCAGTTGTTCTCTCCAAACAGAAAGGAATAAAGGAGCATCATTGGGTTCTTACATCATCTTGAAATGTTCCGTACGATTTCTCATGAGTTCGTCCGCTCGTCATTGTCAAAGTCCCTCAAACCAAAATTTTTACAATTTTCAGTGCCTTTTTTTTTTTTCACTCTCGATTACTTCATATTAAAAAATAGAATATTCGGTCACAGTTTTAGGCTCCATAAAGGCTAACCAGTCCGATGTGGCAGTCGGTAGCAGTCCCATGGAAGAGCATTTATATAGTCCTAATCCCATTGTACATAGTTGTAAAAGTATGTACACCATCTTTGGCACCAGCAATTGTCGTTTGTTCTTTGGCGATTCGTAGCGTTCGAATACTAAGAGTATGTTTGTCAGAAAAATGATAAGCCAACTGCGGGTGTCAAATAAAAAAAGAAGGGAAACACGGAATTTCTGACCTACCGCTGTCGACACCCATTAACGCCTTTATTGGGGAGAAGAACAACATTCCAGTAATCATGACACTAAAGATCGTGACCCCACTACCGCTCATCCATAACATGAATGCGTTCATTGGAATGCTTTTTCCGGGCGAGAACGCCGCTTCCCATGCTTTCTGATTAAAAAAAAAACTTATTTATAGAATTGGACTCTAAGTCGACTAATCTCAAGTTCAGGTCTTTTACCTTGACTTTAAGTGTCTCTTGATCTGTTGTTGGTGGAGCATCTTTTTTACCTTTCTATAAGGAATCGTTCATAAGCAAATTTTCAATAAATAAATGTCTTGAGGGAAAAAATTGTAAAAGTCAAGCTTACGAGGTTGCCCTTTGTATGCGTCTGTGAGGAAGAAAGTGCAAAACCAGGTGGATCTTGAACTGCTACTTGACTCCGGCCCCTATAATACTAGCTAGTGAGCCTCCAAAGACTTGGTTTTCAAAATTATAACAGCTTTGTTTAAGCTCTTCTCACCTTGAAGGATCTAAACTGGCAAAATCGATACTCCACTTGTTTGTCATTCTGCTTTGATCCAAGAAATTTAACAAACATCTTTTGTGCTATAATAATAACGTCAAACTCTATATCATGTGATCTACACATTATATATTGATCGAGTGTAACATCCAATCGTATAATAAAAAATATCTGTTTGCGCTCTTTCACTTTATGGATCGTGCCAGATGGCCAGCCTAAACCAAAGACATACACATTCTGATCATTCGGACGAAGATTCAAGCAGCGTAAATATTTATGATGAGCAAGGTCTGCTGAGCAAAGAATTGACAGACTCGTGTGTTTTTTATTTTTTCAATACTGATCTAATACATAATATATACGTGTTTTAGAGCAAGAACAGCTCATAGCCTCCTTAAAAGCTGAAAATGATCGAGTGAACAACTTTTTTAGGGTACAGCTGAGTTTTTTTTTCCTCTTTTACTGTTGGGAAGCCTATAATCAATATTGGAAAGTGTTAAAAAAATGCCTTTTTCCAAATAAGCAGAATGCATTGGCTTTATCTACTCTTGCATTTTCAATACTGTAACTATTCTTCTTTTTAAACTTGGCATTTTCCTTGTATCCGGGTTCACCTCCTTATATATATATTCTAACCTACTAATTTTTTCTATATTTTGGTGAAGTTACTTTTACTTCCTTTATTTGGTCTCAAAGAATCCGCTAGATCTTGAAATTCCTCTTCCACTTCCTAAACCAGTACCCTCCACAGCACCTTATCCAGCATTGTCTACTATATGTTCTTTACTGTCTTTGCTAGTTTCCGCATACATTGTAAAATCTCCAAAAATTGAGATGTCGCATGTGTATAGTGGATTGTTCGTGTCCTTTGTACCATTGTTGGTATCGCATGCTATACGCAAAGGGGAAGTGTTATGGTGGGGAATACCGTTAGGTATGTTTATGGTTAACGTTGTTGCTGTGTACTGGATTAAAGAGTCGGAAGGAAACTTGCGGGACTTTGAGAAATTGAAGTACAATTACAAAGGAGCGTAGTAATTGACTATGGCTACGGCGGCAATTCGAGTTGAACGAAGGATGTGGATAAAAATAATGTGGTCGACATTACGGAGATGGGCCGCGACAATTATTAGCCGTCTATGAGAGTAGCAATAACACTTAACTAATAGGTAATTTTCGAATTTTCATTTAATTCATTGTTCAGAATCAAAATAATTTATACAACCTTCAATACAGTGAAGAGATAAAACGAAGAAAGCATGCTATTTAGTGGTACATTAATATTTTGTCCTATCCGCCCAATAGGCTTCACCATAATTAACAAAGATTTGCTCGTGGGCCTAGTAAACAGAAGTTCATACTTGGTCAAAGCAATGTCGGAAACAATTAGCGACCATAATGAAACATCGTTAGTTTTTACCTTGATATTATTCTTGACAACATAAAGCACAAACCACATGTTATTATACATAACATATGTCGCTTCTCCGTTATAATCAACTGAGGAAATGAATATGATTCGAGTTTAGTTGCATATCGAAAGACTTTGAAAAAAGACTTGTCGCTTACCGTCTTTATGATTTGCAAAGCGCAGGTAGTTTCCTTTGTTTCTGGCATCAATAACGCATCGGACGGCCTCTCCCTTTTTGTTTGTCGCCTGAACAAGATAGTTGTATTCCCAAGCTAGTGGATCGTTTACAACAGGTCAGACAACTGATAACACATATGGTTTACGCGTAATAACTATAAGATGTTTTACCATATTCGAGTTCTACCCTGCCGCCCACATATTCGCCTGCAGATTCAAATTAGTAGAAATAACTTGAGCAATTCAAAGTAGCTACCGCTTTCTGCCGATTGTATTTCTCGTCTTTTCATTCAATTCCTTCATTCAAACTCACCAGTGTATATGCCAAGAAGTTCCCCGATCTCAAAGTCACGCCCTGCGAACAACCCAAATCTCAGGTTTTCATCCACCCAACGTACATAAATACTCCTATCATCAACATAGGTGCCATTCTGAACAGCCAATTCAATGTCTTTAATCTTAGGCGCAAACCTAGCACTATTATCGCGTACGCGTTTGAGCGTGACAGCCGGGATATTTTTATCCTGAAAAACGCTCTCTTGCAGCTTGAAGCTCATAATATCTGCAAGTATTTCTTTGTCAAAGTCCTATTCAAAGTATGTGCTTAGTATTTGAAGAGATAACCCCCAATGTCCGTGGAATATAAACTCAATATTATAACCATAGTTTGTCCATTTTGAAAAAAAGAAAATCGTGATCAGATAAAGTTCAAGCTCACCGGCCAATTAATCGGTTCAACCCAAAACTCTTCTTCAAATTCATCCATATAAAAACGTTTGAAGACAAATGCTCCACTGCTAAGCAAAATATAATCCTCAGGTTCTTTGGCGCGTGGTAATTCAATCCATGTGATGTTGTCTCCTTCAGTTAATGACGGTTCACATAGCTGAATCTCTTGACGATATTCTCCGGTATAATTATACCCAGCAAGTATTATTATTAATAACGATAACAAAGTTACTGGTCGAACCGTGATTTCATATGGTTGGAAAAGCCAATTAGCGGTAGTTTGGTCTTTGGACGATGCTGTTGCATTCGATTGGTTTCGCTTGGCCATTTTTGTAAGCAGATTCGATTATGAGCGAAAAAGTTAAAAGAAATTTTTCAGGGTCGATCTGCAAGACACATACAAAGACAATGTCGGAATGTCCATATTCGTTACTAGAATATGTGGTTTGCCTTGGAGGCCTCGTGAAAACGGTAGCGCAGCTAATAAAGATTGTCAATTGTCCTAGGTTTGGTTTCTTCAATGGTGAAAACAAACTGGGCGTTATAACGCCAAATGTTGAAATGTCTACTAATGCTAGAGCACCTTCGAGAATGTCCATAAATTCTAAGATGTATAGATGCTTGATGAACTGAATTAAAACGAATTTACATTCTTGTGCCAACAGTTCTATGACTACTAATCATTAAATTATATTGCTTCGACACGCGAATTATAACCATGACTAGTCGTATTAGCGTCTGCCAGTTTACATACACAAGCTTATGACTTTGCTCAATCCCTCAAGCGATAAAAATTCTTGATTTATATTAGACTTATCGTTCACGTTAACTCGATAGTAGTGCTACTGACGACATCTCACTCATAAAATTAAGTGAACGGAAAGCTCGTGCATTTTAATCTTGGTCTTGTTTAATTCGCCCTACAGATTTAGGGATGGCACTTGGAACATTATCGCATTTTTTT